TACTATTTTCTAAAAAATTGTGGATTTTCATGAAATATTACTTTTATCATTTCCTTGATTTTAGAAAATTGTAATTTGTGGTATTTTTGCGTAGATGTTTTTACCTTAAAATAAATATTTTTACAAAAATAAACAAATTTTTACGAAATAATAAAAATTTCTACAAAATTTCTATTTTTGTAGTTTTTTGTAGTTATTCATCAAAATTTTTCCGCTAGGGATAAGGCAAATTCGTAGCGCTATATAGGTGAATGCAAAGAAATGCTTAAGCATGAGTGGTTAAATGCAATTATATGATAAACTATTATATTATTATTATATTAAGAGAAGGGTTTATTTACCCCGAACAAGAGAATAAAATATTAGAGTTGTCTTACGATCGCGTATATAATGATCGTGAAAATTAAGATATTTGTTTTATTATAAAGTTGGATATCGATATAGATAAGGGTTTCTTTGCTTTTCCCCTTGAATAGAAATTATTTTAAAGCATAAAACCAAAGTATTGAAATAAATCGTATTGTATGACAGTAAAAGCACGAAATAGGGTGGGTGGCGCCATCTAGCGTGTTAGGCAAAAACGTTCGGCGACGTAGTACTGGCGGCGGACGTTACACCTACATCAGAAGAAGAAGAAGAAGAAGCCGAGGCCTGGCCTCTTCAGTGTAATAACGCGAGTATCGACGAATAAGCATTCTGTTACTCGTTCTCCCGTCTTGTCATATCGGTGTGACCCTGCTCGATAAACCCGTTTTCCTCGCTAGACTGTCCCTCTATTCGACGTTATATATGTCTCTTCCGCTTTTGGCGGCTCACACAAATCTACCTTCGCCGTCCTTACATTTATAGGTTTCAAAACGCATAAATATTTTGCAAATGCGGACCACGATTGGTGTTATACTGCCTCTAGACTAAAGATAGTATATCGTGGTTTGCATTTGCAAAATATTAGTTATCTATAAAGTATATAGGTATTACGTATATTAAATATAAATTAAGTATTAATATAAAATATAAATTAAATATAATGTAAGTATTTTCTTTTTGCATCAACTGTCATCAGCTTATAAGGTTAGGAGTACTTTACTGAATTAAAATGGCGGTGGCTACCTAACCTAACTGACGCCGTGTCGCATCTCTGGGGGGAGTCGCGTGCCGACCACGGTGGCGTGCGGACGTGACAGAGAGAGTGAGCGCGAAAGCGAGTTATTAGAGCGCGATTTTCAAGCGATAGAGTTGATCGGTGAGGAGTTTAAGGAGGGTGATCTGAAGGTGGATACCAATTAGTGGGCGTGTCCAATATTGATTTTTTTTTAAGTTCCCCCATTCGGAGGGGGGAACGAAGTGTTCGGTGAGAATATGGAAGACGATGAAGATGATAGCATAAATAGCGAAATAGATAAAGACATGGTGAAGGCTATGTACAACCAACAGTCTTTTGAAATGAGATCGTTAGCGAACATAGAAGATGAAGAGTTTAAAAGTAAAAACGAAGGTATGGATGTAGAAGGTGATAGTCTAGAGAGCGATGGATTGGAAGATAATCTCTTGGTGGAGGATAAAAGAGTACAAGAAGATATAGGCGTGAAAGCCACGAAAAAACTAAGAACGGAGGGTAGCACACGAGAAAAGAAGACAAGAGGGAATAGCCCAGAGCATTTAACAAGGAAACTGAAAAAGATGGTCTCGACCATAGTGACGGACAAAGGTCTAACTGGTATGGAAGTAACAAAGACAGGTCAAGTCAAGGAGACAGGGCAGGCACAAGTTGAAAATATAACGGCTGTACAAATAGAGGAATGTAATGACAAGGGAAAGGAAAAAAGCGAAAATGTGCGACAAATAATTAGGGCAAAAAACCGTGCGTTTTTTAATATTGGCGGTAGGCTTATAGATAGCGAATTTATAAACAGAGAAAGCGCCGACTCATTGTCAGTATTGGGAAACGACAGGAATAGGTATAGCGGCAATAACGTAGGTAACTGCAGGATCGTGGTTAGGTTGAATAGGGCTTCGGTTACATCCAATAAAGGGAAGAACTTTCTAAAGATACTTGCGTGGGTTAATAAAAGCGGTAGTCACCAAAAAGATATCCAAATGACGAGATTTAACCAGGCTAACATCACGTTTGAATGCTATAATGAAGCGAATAAATTCCTAGAAATTGCGGAGAAGAGTGAAATAGTGGAGGCACGGATAGAAAAAAAGACACTTACGTGTAAGGGTGTTATATCGGACTGGCCATATAGTATACAAGAATTATGGAAAGAAATTTAAGACAAATCCGGTATTCTAAAAATCGAGAAGATGTACAGGAAGATTTGGGACAGAGATGCAAAGAAGCTCGAGGAAAAGGAAACTGGCAGTTTGATTATTACTATGAAAGGGGATAAAATACGGGACCACATTACGATATTTAATTATATGAAATACAAATTAAAGGTAAGGCCGTTTGTTGAACCAGTAAAGCAGTGTTATAATTGTTTTAGATTCGGCCATATAAAGGCTATATGTAGGAGCGATCAATTATGTAGGCGTTGCGGAGATAAATTTCACAGCGAGTGCGTAAAGAACC